CCTGCGCAGGGACACCCGCGGGTTCCGTCTCTTTTTTACTTTTAATTTTTTTCTCTTCCCCCCCCTCCCCCCTCCTTTCCCGCCCCCCTGTTTATCCTCTTTTTTTTTTTTTTTTTTTTTTTTTTTTTTTTTTCCAAAAGGCTCAATTATATTGCCTACTTATGGCCAGGGGCCCTCACTCTTCTGTTTTCACGGTTCTCCTGTCTTACTGCAAGTGCTTCCAGGGGGGAGCCAGGCAGCCCCCTCCGTGACAGGAATCAGCCCGCCACACCTGGCCCGGGGGGGAGCAGGGGGGGCTACGGCGCTGCAGGAGCCTGCGCCAGAACTGCGCCTTGCTCTCCTGTCCTCCGTCGGAAAGGCAGGAGACGAGGCCTCGACAGGGCAGCTGGAAGGCAGGCAGGAGTTTCAGAGGTGACTTGCTCAAACACCTACTTTTTCAAGCAGCTGGAAAGCAAACAGGGATTTGCTACCTGTGATTTCCATGTGAAGAGGATATTGTTTCACAGGTCAAAGTAGGGCTGTTTCAAGTTACTGCTAAAGGATGTTACCTAATGGCACAAAAGTAATACCCAGTTGAAATTATAGACTGCCAGCTTCTTTGAAAAGGAGCTGGAGCCCTACGTTGTAAGATGATGTTGCCAGGGCCAGAAATCTGTCATCCTGGAAGATAACCGTCCTTGTCCTCAGTGAAAAAAAGTACTTTTGGACGTTTAATTCGAATAGTGCTGATGGCTTTTCACCTCCCACACATGGTGATATGCGCACCGTCTGAGGATGTGATAAGCCTTCTGGTCATTCCCACATTGTATCTATTGCCTGTTTCTATTGCAAAGGGACAAAAATTGGTATAACACAGCCTCTGCTGCCCTAGCCATAGCAATGATGTGTTAATGCTTGCATCCTGCCTCCCAGAAGGCCACACACACAGGATCCACAAGGCTGACAAGCCCTTGCAGATGCTGGAGGAGTGGACAGCCCACGTGTGGCCGCATGCTGTCTTCTGCAGGCTGTGAGTCGCCCAGGGAACGTCCATGCCCGAGCTACTGCTCTTCAAAGACTGTGCCCTGACTGCTAAACTGGCTCTGTGGGTCTTCTGTGGATCGGGTTTCACTGTCACCTTCTTGCTGGCCCATCTGCTCTTTCCCAAGGGCAACAGGTGACTTACAGTCACACTATAAGATGTAATACGGAGTCTGTGAACTGTAATTTTCATAGTTAATAGTTTTTATCAGTAGCAGAGACTATGCACTAAGAACAGCAGGAAGTCATGTGCTCTGCATGAAGCAAGGGGACTTAGTGATGAATAGATACGTAATTTTTCTGGCTCACGCAAATTATTTTTCTGTTCTTGGTTTGGGAGCAAAAAAAATTAAAAGCTCCACTGTTATGTGTGAGAGTTTACGAGGAAATAGTGTGTGATTATGTAAGCATGGTGGGTGGCAACAAGGGCACCTCGACTTTGGATTAAAACTACACTGAAACAGAGAAAAAAAACAGTCATGAAAGGGCTGAAGAGGGAAGATTTCTGCTGACTGATGCATGGCCCATGGATCAGTACACTGTCTCTGTATGTATAATGAGAGTATTCATAGGACAATAAGACTTCAGTTTCTTAGCTCGGACCCTTGGTGACTGAAGTTCCTGCCTTTCGTGCCAGTACATGACACTAAGTGTCACACAGATGAAGCCCGAAGCACTAACTGGCAATGCAGACAAGGTTTTGGAAAGTACTGCTCTGTCCCCTGGTGCCAGTTATTCAAGATGACCTTCCCGGTCTTTTGCTTTTCAAGTCACATCCTTGCCATTCACATCCTCTTCCTCTCTTTTCCCTTCCTAGTCTTTCTTATCTCTTGGTGACTGCCAGCTCCCTCTCAAAAGTAGATGATACTTTCTCATCGTTTGCCTAGGGAAAGTGCTAAAAAACTGTACCTGTGCTGTGTAAGCCTTGCTAGTTGCAAGGCTCCTCAGGAAGAGCTGGAAATACTTTCAGCCCCAGCAGAAGTAAGCAGGGCCCAACATCCCCCACAGGCATAAGGGAGGATTGGGCACATGGCTGTCACTTACCAAATCTCCTCTATTTACCCGTTATAAAATACGAGTGAATAACTATGGAGTTTTATGAGCCTGTGCCACTTGAATCTTTGTCCATGCAGCCTTCCCCACAGCATTGCTTAGCTAGGCTGCTGCATTATTGGGGAAGATGTGCAGCAGCTGAGGCTGCTGTATTGCACTACCTATATGTGGGCATTAAATAAGACCTGGGAAATTATTTTATTCCATGCTTGAAGCCTGCACAAAAGGAATTGCCTCAAGGCTTTGCTACAGGTATTTTGGGTACTATGTAGTAACTCATTGCAGTCTTTATTGGTATAAAACATTTTGTTCCCTTTGTGCTAAAATGTTTTGCCTTAGAAAACATCATGAAAGATTATTTAAGGTGATATGCTTAGCAAAAAACCAGCAGTGAGATACAGAGCCTTTCGTGGGCATAGCATTGCCCAAGTCAGTAAATATGGCCTGGATACAGCAGCTTCATGCCTACTTGGTAACGTGGAGCACGTTCATGGCCACAGACTAGTGTTCCAGCTTCCGGTTGCCAATACAAGCAAAGCGTGTTGTGCAGAGCCAGGGTAACTCTTTCCTCATCCAAGGAGAGATGTCCCTGCATCGAGGCAAACCAACAGGGTTATCTGAGGTATCACATCAGTTTGCACTGTCAATGACAGTTCCCTAGCTGCACTTTTTATAGAGGACTCAGGTTTCCAGTTATTTTGGTTCGGCAGCTCTCCTGTCATCGACAGCTTAAAATGTAAATCTGTCTGTCTGTCTTACCTTTAAAATAAGGCTGCTAAAATGAGAGCACTGGAGGGAAAAAAATCATTGTCTTACTGTGCATTTGGCAGCACTTCATGGCATATCAGCTTTCCTGACATTTGTGGGTGCACATAGATGCAATGGCAGAAATGCGTGCCTGGAAGAAGCAGGGCTTATTACAAAATCAGTCCCCATCAGAGGAGATTGTACCTCCAACTGCTTTTGCAGCAAGGAAAGCCAAATTGACCACCTAGACTAGTTTAGGTTTTTTGGGTTTGGTTTTTTTTTTCTGAAAAAAATGCTCTTTAAATGTAAGAAGCTAATTTCAACGTTATCTCTAGTAAATACAGTTTTTGTATAGTCACTATAGTTCAGTGAACTTTAAATATATGCTTTCAAAAATAGTTTGCCCCCTAGATGATCCACAGGCAATGTAAGGCACAGGCTCACTTTGCAAAGGAGTTCACTGAGGTTGCTCGGTGACAAGTAGGCAATTGGGTTCACACTGTTCTGTTCAAAGACAAATATATGGTATTAGCTCCACAGTGAATGCTTTTATATGTGGACCGCCCTCAGGGTCTCACTGTTCTTCACCTGTCTGAACTAACCAACACTTCAATCAGCAGCTCTGAGAGCAGATAATGAGTGATTGTGCCTTTCTGTCAGCTATTGGGGAGCTTTGGTCATTTGTTGGCTCTGGTCATTTTATGGCAAAATAGAATGAAAGAGCTGCTTTTTTTTCAGTCTGTGTTTTAAAACTGAGTAATTAAACAAGGTTTTTGTGGGTTACTCTGACTTTATTACTTTCAGGTCGCTGTGCTTCTCTGCTGTCCTCGCCCACAGCTCCAGCAAGGAAGAAAGGATATGTGTTGCAGTTGAGGATATAGAAA